CATTCAGCAGAGGATTCAGAGAATGCTATCTTGCAGTTGAATTTAAGGCTGCTGGAGCCATAAACTTGGAAGTGACAAGGCTCTGCTCCTATTCTAATTTACCCTACCCTACCTTACCCGTCCATCCTTCTTTCTTTCTTTCTTTCTTTCTTTCGACCTGGTCAGAACTGAATGGAGCAGGCATTTTAGATGGCTTTCAACCCTTAATAGGTGATTTCTTCTCAGAGCCAAAAACAATGCAGCAGTGCAGTGAGGTTCCTATAGAAATGAATATGATTGACTGGCCTTTCAAAGAGACAACTGAGCTGCCCAACAATTTATGGGATATGCTTAGAAGCTGAGGCAAAGGAGCTACAATAACTCTGGAGTCTGCTGTCTTTAAAGCTTGTTCCCAGAGAGCACCTCACCAGCTAGATGAACAGTTACAAGCAGCCTGCTTTGTAAATGCCTAACAGTCTTACACGATTCTGTGGGGAATAGTGATATAATTTATGTAAATTTGAGGGGGGAATTTTGCTTCTGTAGCAGTGGCAGTTGCCCATGGCAGAAGGACAAGAGTCCTAACTCTTTTGTGTCACCTTAGAGATAATGAAAATCAATAGAAATACAGTGGGGCAAAAAAGTATTTAGTCAGCCACCAATTGTGCAAGTTCTCCCACTTAAAAAGATGAGAGAGGCCTGTAATTTTCATCATAGGTATACCTCAACTATGAGAGACAAAATGAGAAAAAAAATCCAGAAAATCACATTGTCTGATTTTTCCACCATGATTTGCAAATAAATTCTTTAAAAATCAGACAATGTGATTTTCTGGATTTTTTCCCCCATACCATGATTTGCAAATAAATTCTTTAAAAATCAGACAATGTGATTTTCTGGATTTTTTCCCCCATACCATGATTTGCAAATAAATTCTTTAAAAATCAGACAATGTGATTTTCTGGATTTTTTCCCCCATACCATGATTTGCAAATAAATTCTTTAAAAATCAGACAATGTGATTTTCTGGATTTTTTCCCCCATACCATGATTTGCAAATAAATTCTTTAAAAATCAGACAATGTGATTTTCTGGATTTTTTCCCCCATACCATGATTTGCAAATAAATTCTTTAAAAATCAGACAATGTGATTTTCTGGATTTTTTCCCCCATTTTGTCTCTCATAGTTGAGGTATACCTATGATGAAAATTACAGGCCTCTCTCATCTTTTTAAGTAGGAGAACTTGCACAATTGGTGGCTGACTAAATACTTTTTTGCCCCACTGTAAATTAGCAATCTGTGGATTCCTTGGTGCTGTCTGAGCTTGGTTGGTTGTTTGCAGATGTTTCATTACCCAACTAGGTAACAGCATAAGTGCGTGTGAGTGTGGGGTTTGCTCCCTGTTTATATACAGTAGCTTGCCCTGCTAGTTTTGGAGGGGGTGTGGTTTTTCTCCTTGGTGGTTCCTTGATTAGGATATTATTTTCTGCTTGATTGTTTGTCTGGTGTTAATCTCTGCTTATCTGGATGTAGGCTGCTGGAGAGGATGTGTTCTGCTCTTTTTGTTTCTTCTTAGCTTTTATTATTGTCTCTTTTGAATGGTGTGTAAATGTAGTTTATCTCTACGTATCTATTGATGGCTGATTTGTATGAATGGCAAGCTTCCAGGAATTCCCTAGTGTTTATGGATTTGGCTTGGTCTGAGATGCTAACAGTTTCCCAGTTGAAACTGTGGTTGAGTCCATCCGTGTGTTGTGAGTTTTCATTGTGTCTTCTGATTGTTAGTTGGTGTTCATGGATGCACTCTGCTAGTCTTCTGCCTGTCTGTCCTACATAGTGGCTGTTACCATCTTTAAACTGTCACTGTCAATTGAAATTTGCTTACCATCTGATGCTGTACATCGTGATGCTAATTCCCACAGAACTAATCCCATGGCATACATGTCTATTCTCAAAAACGCATCCCGCTGGAAGTTTATAGCACCTTCTAACACTTCAGGAGCCATGTATCTTCGGGTACCAACCTTGAAAACAAGATTAACCACTAGGCTTACAAACATGAAAATTCAAAGTTTAAACAAATTACATACCAGGTATTCTAGAAAAATAATAAGTAACAACAATTACAGCCAAAATCACTTCGTACTTAGAATTTGGAGCCTACAATTTATTTTGGAATAGCTTACCATCAAAACCAAAACCACACTGAACAATATTTCTTAAGGAAGTCAATAGCCTTTGGAACATTACCTATTAAAAAAAAGTATTAAAATCTCTTGAAGCAAATAGTTTCAATAGCTTTCATTATTTTGAAATGGCCAAGGAACTAAAAAGCTTGAAAATTATTGGCAAGGACAACCCAGTTAAGACAGAGAGATGTGCTTTCCAGGCTTCAGTGATCAAGTCAGTGTTCACTGCCAAGTATCCTATATGAGTCACATTAGAAAGTAAATACAAAACACCAACCCTAAGATGTTACAGTTTCATACTTAGTAATATTTTTTCTTCTTATTCTGCTGTTCTATAATTTAAACTGTTTATAACACCAAGTGTAATAATCTGCACCTCATGGTCTTTGAAGTAATGGGATCTTCACCTGCATAGAAGAGCATTTTGGAAACTTTGAGAGCTTATTAGAACTTGAAACCTCTAGCATTAAGTAACACAGGGACAGGACCAAGCCCATCTTCCTGAACAGTGCCTGAATTGCAATGAATTGCACCGCACGCGGTGGCGCAAGGGCTTAATGACGCGGGAGTTGCCAGTCAGAATGATTGGCTCTCCAGCGGTTCGAGCCCAGCCCCGCGGGACAGGGTGAGCGCCTGTCCCTTGTCCTAGCTCCTTGCTCACCCAGGAATTCGAAAGCTATTCCATCTGCGAGTAGATAAATGGGTACTCCCGTTTAGATGGGAGGAACCGGCGGTGCTGCGCAGGGGAGCAAAATACCGGT